AGGAAAGCACAGGCAATAGGAATAGGGAATAGAAATCTATGTAATGCCAAGACACAATGATCTAAGACGTGTTGCATTATGAATTGTGGGAGTAAATGTTCCAATTTGGGTCCAAATAAAAGTACGAGTATGTTGCACGACGCTTCGAAGTCCAGCATGCGTAGTTCATGAATTGGCCGTTGGACCATATTGCGAACAGCGTCCATGAAGTGCGACCATATTTTAGCCTACCCCCACCATTGATTCAAGCAGGAATTGAGTCTCCTGGTTTCTAGTCTTCTTGTTGTCCAGTCTTCTCCAGTCACGTGTCACGTAAGCTGCTTCGTCAGCTGACTCATTACCCTCGTCGGAGATACTCTCAGACCCAATCTCTTTCCTTTCCTCGACCTTTGCGTTTGCATGTAAATTCCGTAGCAGGCTAAGAAGACTGCTAAAGATCAGGAGATCAAACTCCAGTAGTGGGGATGAATCAAACTATGATCGCATTTCAGAGGCGCTGTTCGCGGTAAGATAACCGGCCAATTCATGAACTACGCGTGTGCCAAAGTTCGAATATTTACGTTATTTGTGGGAACCGTTGTGTCAAAGAAGTGAAATTATGTCTAAAATGTGTTGTATCGTGAATTGTGGGAGTAAATGTTCCAATTTGAATCCGAACAAAAGGACGCTATTCGCATTCCCGAAGGCAAGTGTATTTGATGATGAAAAAATGAATAATAATCATTTTCTCAAGAAAACATCATACAGTTTAATTTTTCACTTTTCAGGATCCTCATGAAAATGAAATCTGGATGGAGAAGGTTTCTCTGTTTTTGAGTAAGAGAAATGTTGCTCAAAAATCTTTACGTATTTGCGATAAACATTTTAAGGACAGCGATGTTGAGCGGACTTTCAAAACTGTCTTGAAAGATGGAATAATAAACGAAATACCACGTGAAATATTTAAATTGAATCAAGGTAGTGTACCATGCATTTTCAATATCCATCAAGATAATTTTGAAGATGAGTGCATAGATATAAAAGAAGAAAGTTTATCTGTAAGTAGAAAACCTGTCTAAATTATGCTTTGAAAATATATTTCAGTCAAAATATTCTCGACATTAAAAAAAATGGAAATTTTCGGGTTTCCATTCCGTTTCAGGACCCACTACATATAGACCCACACATACAAGAGAACGAAGCAACAGAATACAACATCGAGGCATTGAAAAGAGACTTAGAAGCTCAAGAGCATTCCTACGAAACAATTGAATGGGGAAAAGGATTATTACCTGACGGCATTGTTTTATTTTACTGTGGTGACTCTGAGGAACATACAAGAAAAACATTAGTAGTGAAAGAGGACATGAGCACAGAAGTAATTTTTATATCTGATCTATAATAAAATAAAATTGTATTAACGTCGGTAAAATTTCACAAGTATAATTGAAAAATTCTCATTTTTAGGTCCGACTTTGGCGTGAAGGTGACAAGTTAAATATTATGGGCAATGTCCGTTGTTTTGAAGACCTTTCATCTATCTTGAGAACACTCCGTAAAAGGCGTGTATGCAGTGGACCCGATAATGACACTCCCTGTACTCGTGGTTTTATAGAATCAACATCGAATCGAAGAAGGCAAAGATGCGACTCATGCCGAGTACAACGGCGAAAAAAAATTCATAACGAAAGGAGGAGGGAAATTCGTCTAAATGCGAAACAATACAAAAGGAAACAAATAATTAAAAATCTAAGACAACAAATTATTCACATGAGAAACTACGTAAGTATTATAGAACCATGTGATAGAAATATCACAATAAGTTTTAGTTCTTTACAATGTTTAGATTCCTCTATAAAAAAGGCGTGTTAAGTCGATAGTCGAAAGTCTCGAAGTATTATCCCTTTTCCGAGATGCTGATTGGCTGTCTCGCTTGTTCAATACGACATGCTTCAGTCCTGTTATTTGCAGCTGTCAAACTATGCGAATCTTTAGAAAGAGCAAATATTTCAAATTACAGATAAAAAAAAATGAAGAAACTATAAAGGTGTTGCAGTCTCGTTTATTGCACTGTCTGACAACAGATTAAGATGACATTAAAAACTAACCAAAAGTGCAGTATTGTGCCGTGAGTTTCAGCTCGGATACAAACTTTTATTTGGGATCGTTGCCAGGTTCCGCACCAAACAACCGACTCGACCACAGCTCTAATCAAAAATCAATATCAATATTTCAAATAATTTGACTACAACTTTGGTTGACTTACAAAAGCACAAACAATTTTAAATTACACTGTTTAATTGAACAAAGTTATCCTAACAAAATTGATAACTGACAACATAAGCATTTGCCACTAAAACTATGATTATTAAACAGTTTATAAATAATAACAAAATTATTAAAGTTCTTTCTTTGGTATATATATAATTTTGTTAGAATAACTTCATGCAATTAAACAGTGTAATTTAATATGCTTACTAGTTTTCATCATCAATTTTACACGAGGCCCAGCTGCTGTTATTTCACGTTTGACACATTTCTCAGATGCACGACGCAGTCACTCTTTAATAGAAGTACAAATAAGTGCATTTGTAGTGTCGGGACAATGTTTTTTAACTACATCAATAAACAATAATTTAAGCATAGGATATATTTATCTAAACAAAAATAGAACGGTGGAAGTACATGCGTGGAGACAGTAGGTTTGTTTTCTGTTCTTGCACTGGTGAACTAGTGCAGTAAGCTAGAATGAGAAAAAATATGCTTGTCTTACTCCATTTTATTGCACTAGTTCACTAGTGTAGGAACAGAAAACAAGCCTAGTATGTCCCCCCTGCGGGGAGCTCCATTTTGTTAAGATCTAACCTAACCTAATCCAAACTATACCCGAGGTGTGGAGTGGATCATCTCC